CTAATAATATAAAATTTATATGAAATTAATATGTAAATTATCGAAATATACTTATTTAAAAATGAGGTATTTAATCGTAAAATTATTGTTGGTCGGTCATTTTTGCTAGATGAGTATATATGTGTATTATAATCATAATCATAGCTATATAATGAATGTATTGATTATTCAACTAGTGTTTTAAGCTGACTATGTAATTATCACTGACTTGATCATCGGCTAAGTTGTTAACTTAATCAATTAAGTCATTTAGGGGTAATGCAGGGAATCTGATATGTATGATACTAAAAATATTCAGTAGTAAAAAAATAAAAATAATTGATATTTTTCAAATTTTTTTTTTTTTAAATTTAAATAAAAATAATGAATTTATTTATAAATGTTATCAATATAATTAAAATTTTATTTTGTATAAAGTGTAATCAGATGATCATTTTCTTTTAAAAAATAAAATATACCTGCATTAAAAAAAAGCTTTTAAGATGAAACAGATATGGCAGATATAAATAAAAACTTAAATGTTTATTTAAATAATAAAAGAAAAATATTTTTTCTTTCATACCACCATTATAAAAAATCATGAAAATAATATTAAGGGTGGTTTAAAGGTAAAACAGATAGTTTAGAAAGTTATAAATATAAAAAGAATTCTGTATCAACTGGAAATGTAAGAGATTGGGAAGATATATGCAATTAAAAAAATCTAAAAGTATGAAAGTGGAATTTAAAGAAATAGGTATTTCATATAAGCGTAATACTAGAATTTTTAATACTTCAATGTCTTTAAATTTTGTTTAGTAATTTCTATTTAATCTGTAGACAAAAAATTTAAAGATTTGAATTAAAGATCCAAAAACTAATAATATAACTTAATTTATTCAGAATTTTCTAATGCTTATCTAAAGATACCAAAATTTCATTGCATGTTATTTTGATTTGTATACTTATAATTTTATGAACTATATCTTTAGAAAAATTTTTTAAAAAATATAAAGTTGAATATTATAGTAAAAGTATTGGATATACGCTGCCTAATATAAGATTAGTAGTATTAATAAATGGTTGAAGTAATAAAATTAATTCTTCTAAGGCTATTCAATTTTTAGAATTAAGTAATAATTTTTATATAAATATTCTTATATATGCTAAGAATAAACTTAAATAGTATATTAGATAATACATTAAATTAATATAAGATTTAAAATAAATCAAAAATGATTTATCAAAATGATTTATTATAACAATTTTAATAAAATTGTATTTTTATTTATCATTTAATTAAAATGATATAATTGTTTACACAATATGAAAGTAGAGTTTTATAATAAAATATTCATCATATTGTATATAAAGGCTCTTCAAACCTAAAAATTATATTGATTTTTTATTATATTAGAATAGTTTCTAATAACTCTAAAATCTTAATTTCTATATTTACTTTTTAGATTCCAGAGTTTCTAGAATTTCAAGAAATATAATCAAATTTTTTATTATATTAGAAAAACTTTTAAAAGTTTTAAAATTTTAATTTTATATCAATTTAATACTATATAAACCAAAATTTTTTTAGTAGTCAACATAATATATTACTATAAAATTTACTATAAAAAATACAAAAATATTAACTTTTTATGAAACAAATTAATAATATATAATAATCATATTCTTTTAGTACTTTTTTTAAACATCTTTTATTATATATATTATTAAAAATTTTTTTATTTAAAAGGATTTTAAGTTTAAAGTTTCTGAATCATACTGTAATCCATTAGAAATAATATTTTATAACACTATGATTTTGGATGAAAATATCTTGAAAACTGTTGAAACTTATTTAATATTAATAAAATTAATATAAATAAAGTTTTTGAATCAGAAACTTTTGAATTGAATGAAGCTGATATAATATTTGATGATAATTTTAAGTCTGATAGTGAATTTGATGAGTTTGAAAGTAAAAATGAGGAAAGTTTAGATAAAAATGATGAAGGTGATATTACAATTGAACAAAACAATTTAAATAATTTAATATCATATGTATTAATTGATAAAATTCAAAAATGTAACAATATCAAAAGTTTTCAAACATTATGGCAATTAGTTAGAGTATAAAAAATAGATGATACAAAAATTTCAGAAGTAAATAAATCTTATAAGAGATTAGGAGTTTGCAGTTATCATTTTAATTATGATCAGAACAAATTATATGATCTAAAAATTAAAAAAAGCAAGTTTACGTCAAAAAGTATTCTTTGCAAAAGAAAATATCTTTTTTATGAAAACTTGTTATTTTTTAGTTAGAAAAATGATTGTTCAAAACATTTATAAAAATTATTAGGAAAAAATATACAAATTGCATATAATAGGTAACATGCATATTCTGCTTTTAATAATTCAACTTGTGAACCTATTTTAAAAAATATTAAAAATTCATATTATATTTGTTTAGAATATTATAAATTAGAAGATCATTTTCACGTAAAACTTAGTAAAAGTAAATTACCAGTAACTTATATTGATCAAAAATATCATAATTAAAATGTTAAGAAAAATTTAGAAATAATTGTATATTGGCTTTTATAGAATTTTGAACAAGTTGAGTTAACTTACAAGTCAGATAAGTCAAGTCAAGTTTAAATCAAGTTGAGTTTATATTTTTTTGACTTGATAATTTGTGAGTTAAATTAAATTCAAGTTAAGTTAAATATTTAACTCAACTTGATTTAAATTTAACTCAAACTTAACTTGACTAAAGTTGATTTAAAATAGTTTATTAATAAATTAACATTTTAAAACTATAAAAATTATACATGATAATAATTAAAATAGTTAAAAATTTAAATTTATTTTATTAATTTAAATATTAATTTTAAATTTCATTATAAAATGATTTTCTTAAATAATAAACTATTGAAAATCTATTTTTTAAAATATTTAAATTAAAATATTCTAAAAGAGCAAATCTTAATAAAATGATATAATTATATTTACACTGGTCAAAATCAAAAAAATCAAACATGTGAAAAATCAGTCTAAATTCAGCCTAAATTCAGAAAATTATCAAAAATCAGCCTAGTCAATTAGTATACACTAGAAATCAGCTAAAAATCAGCTGAAATTTGACTTATCTTATTTATAGTCGATTAGCATACTTATTTCCAATTAGCATACGTCAATAATCAGCTAAATTTGACCCATCTTATTTATAGCTGATTGACGTCTGATTTATATCCAATTGATATACATTAAAAATTAGCTAAAATTTAACCTATCTTATTTATAGCTGATTGGAATACTTATTGCTGATTGGCAGTAATATGCATTTTATGCTTCTATTAGTATAAAATTTGATTGGAAACTTCCAATCCAAATGAATTTATTAGAGAATTATGCTTTCAACCCTTCCAAAAGTGCTTTCAAGAGTGCTTTCAATCTTTTAAGTGTACATCACTACCGATTGGTATACGTCAAAAATTGGCTAAAATTTAACCTATATTATTATAGCAAATTGACATCCGATTTATATCTGATTAATATATGTCAAAAATAAACTAAACTAAAATAAAATTCAGAAGGAAATATAATTGATATTTAGGATTAACAGCCAAATAATGTTAAAACATTCAATTTATTTTTACAAATGGTATTTTCTATTAATTGGATTAATTGCTAAATATTCTTTTACATTTTATCAGGCTGAAATTTAATAGTTAATTAGTACAAATTGATCCAAAATATGATGAACTAGTATTATACAATCACGACTTTTCAGATAAAATTCAGTATTCCATAATTTGATATTACATGTTTTTTTTTCGCTAAAATAATACTGCATATTTGGAGAACTTGCAAGTTTATACCAATAAACAAATGCTAGAAAATGTTCAACCTTTCTAAATAGCAAATCGACCTTATATGTAAAATAATATTGGACTTAGCCAGGATAACAATCGATTGTATTATCATTTGTAATAAATTTAGCCAAAATGTATAAATTTTTTACATGTCGCAAAGATATTAACGATCTAAAGATTTTAGAACCAATTCGATACCTTTCAAATTGATTCATTTTGACCTGAATTGTTATACTATCTTTCAAATTCTTATCGAATGGCTTCTTAAAATCAAACGTGATATAAGTTATATTATAGTATTTAACCATTAAATCAAGCATTTTATTTGAAATAATTATATTATCAGATGATAGTTTAAGGAATTTGCCAAAAAATAGTTCACTTCCAGTAATATTTGATTTCTTAATATTTTATGAATTCATCTAAAATCAATGGATTTTATCAGAAGAAAATTCATCTGTATCTGAAAGGAAACTAATTGAAGACTGATTGTCTAGCAATTCAAGTACTTTTACCTCAATACCACTAGAACTTATAATACTGTCAATTTGAATATCAAATATCAATCAATGCATTAGCTCAGATTCGATTTTTCTATTACATTTGGTAAAGAACCTAAAAATTGTTCATAAATTAGTAAGCTAATTTATTCAAGAAATTCTCAAAAAAAAACCTAATATTCCATTCATGCGTTCAAAAGAAAAATACCAAAACGCATATAATGGACTATAGTCTCTTGAGCAATCATAAAAATGGAAAGAAAGGTGAAGATTTGGCGTAATTTTGTTATGCCTATGATTATTTTTAATCAACTTCACCATCTCAATTAATCCTTGATATGCTTCATGTTAGAGTTCTGAATGAGTCGAGTCAAGTTTAAAGATTAACTCTATTCGATTCTCTTTTTTCGAGTCGAGTTAAGTCAAATTTATTTTATAAAATCTTTCAATTTGAATTATATAAATTTTAAACTCAACTCAATTTGACTCGACTTAATTTTAACTCGATTCAATTTTGAAAAAAATAATAAAAAAAAACAAAAAGATTGGGGAGAGGAGAGCGAACGATTTGTTATTGTTTTTATTGAATGATAAAAAAAATCGTTCAAGTCAAACAATTTGTCATCGTTCTTTTTGAACAATAAAAAAAATTGTTCAAGTTAAACGATTTGTCATCATTCTTATTGAACGATAAAGAAAATTGTTCAAGTTGAACGATTCGTTATCGTTCTTCTTGAACGATTATTTGGCTTGACTCACAAATCATCGAGTCAAAAAACATAAACTTGACTTGATTTAAACTTAACTCGGCTTATCTGACTCGTGAGTTAACTCGACTCGTCTAGAACTTTACTTCATATAATAGATCTGATTCTACAATCTGGCTTACTAAAATTATACAAATCCTTACGAAATGTGTAAGAATCTTTCTATTTACAATCAAAAGATATTTCTAAAGCGAAATAGTAGTATATATAGTGAAAAATATTCATCACTGATCGGCTGTAAAATTAGAAAATCCTTCTCTTTTATGAATTTTATCCAGAATTTAACCCAGATCAGAAGGAATCTAAAATTCATTTATCTTTTTCTGAATCTTATTCAAGGAATTTAATGTCAAAATTCCTTTATTAATTCAGATTCATTTTACTACTATCATGCAATACCTAAAGTAGGTAATGCATTGAATCAATTATAATATATTTTTATATATTTTATAAGGTTAAAATATGGCAAACGTAATAATTCAGATCATCTTATGCCACTTTATTTTACAAATCATTTTTATGAAGCATCTGAATTGCAGCGTTTCCATTCTAATGCATTTTGATGATACTCAATTGGATTTCGCATAATGAATCAATCATCAATATTATCCATTTTGGCAAAATTATGCTAATATTTTTCATAATTTGCCTTCTTTTTGCATCTATAATATGATACTAAGGCCGAAATATGTCTACATATTTTTCTAGCGGCCAGTATATCACATGAAATAAGAATTAAAGCTGCACAAATGTTCTTTCCTTCAGGATGTTTATATGTTTTATCTATTGTAAATTCATCTCAAAGTGATTCCAATTCATCTATAATCAGTGCTAAATAATAATTTATTTTATATAAACTGACTTCGCTTAGTCTAGGTAATAGACTAAAAGTCAGTAAATTTTCATGTTTAAATCAGATATTACAAGGCAAATTGTATATAGCGGCATATATTACTCCAATGCTATAAACAGTCACTGGTTGAAATCAAAAAAATCGGACATGCGAAAATCAGCTTAAAATCAGCCTAAATCAGCCTAAAATCGGTCTAAAATCGGCAAATTATCAAAAATCAGCCTAACCGATTGGCATACATCAGAAATCGGCCAAGAATCAGCCAAAATTCGACCTATCTTATTTTTAGCCGATTGGCATACTTATAGTTGATTGGAACGATTGCACTGTTCCTTAGGGACAATGGTATTATCATACCTAAAGAATGACGATTTTATCATTCTTTAGGTATGATGCATTTATCGTTTCTAAGGCACAATAGTTTATCGTTGAAACTGGCAGAAACTAATGGGACAGTCACATAAGACAAATCTGCCAAATCTGCCTTATCTGTCAAAAAGGACATACTTGATATTTATTATATTTTTATTATTTATATTATTATTATCATTTATAACATAT